CACTTGCATTCAGCAAAATAACCCAATATAGTCCAATAGTCCATAATAGTAGTGGGCTATCGGCAGAACTGGCAATTGTCTGAAATTGTTGACTTAAGCCTTTTACAGCATACTAATATGGCATTACTTTTTATACCTCATGGTTATACTATTCTGCTGGATGGTTAAGACCAAGTTAAAGACCTGTATAACTAAAAATGTAACTTTTGTATCTGACAAGGTCACTCAAATGCCCTCAGGCTTTATGCTGGAATCATGTAGAGCACCTTGTAGATCTTTTGTCAGTGTCAGCCATCTGGATGAGTCACAGCCATTGCTTGACCAATTTGCTTTCTATGAAAGCCTGAGAGAAATTTTTCTTTCTAGGTGACTCTCCCTAGGCACACTATCTTTTTTTCTCATTAAAATGAATAAAAATTATAAAGAAAAAGAATTAAAATATATGCTGAATTATAAAATAAATAAATATCTTGAAAATTTTATTAATATTTCATATTTTCATAAGAAAAATTGCCTATTTAAAAGCCTATGTAAGTCTTAAGTTTAAAATGTTAGAGAAATATGTACTTTGAAAAGAATTCAAAACCAAATTTAAGTTCTCTCCAAACAAATGTTTGGAATTGAGCTAATATGTTTATTAAACTATTGTTGTGATTTGTGTCTAGTTGTCCCCCCAAAACCTCAGGCAGTCAATGGGGAAGGTTTCTAGAGTCTGTGATCAATTTATGATCCAATGCTGAAAATATGGGTGTGATTGTTACCTGCACCCTAGGGCAGATAGCTTGAATACAATATAAGGAAGGGAGAGAGGCTTGCTAGCTGCCACTGCTGCTACCCTTTCTTCTGCTGCTCTCTGCCATGTGCCACTATGCCTTGGAGCCAGCTGAGAGTATGGACTGAAACCTTCACAAACTGAGAGCTAAATAAACCTTTCCAGAGGAGGAGGAGTGGGGGAGGAGAAGGAGGAGGAGGAGGAGGAGGAAGAGGAGGAGGAGAAGGAGGAGAAGAAGCAGGAGAAGCAGCAGCAGCAACAGCAGCAGCAGCAGCAGAAGCAGCAGCTTGATGCTAGTTGTGAAAACAATGGGAGAATGATGTAGATAGTAGTTCAAGATCTTCAAGGTTGCACCTTCCACCAGAGACTCAGGTGCCAGGGCCCTGAGGGTAGCACAGACTCAAAGGAGGCTCCAGTGTGACCTGAAGTTGCAATGCCCGAAGAGGTCTGATACCTGACCTTCCCTGTAGAGGGCTTCACAACTACCTCAACTACAGCTCAAGTAGGCCCAGTGGGCACAATTGCCCCATAAGGAGCAGATGTACACATGGGCAGCATCTATGCAATACTAACTCTGCAGGCAAGTAGAGTGTTCAAGCTATGGAGGCATGGCTACTTCCACTAAGGAAAACCTTGAGGATCAGGAGAAGAAATCCCACAGGATGCAGATGCTACAGAGTTCCTTCTAAAACAACGTCAATGGAACTATGGAAACAAGATTGTCACAAAGGACCCCTGACAAAGCAACACAGCAGAATTGTGGAGGCAAAACCACCATAGAGTCTCCAATCAAGCAGTGCCTACCAGATCTGTAATGCAGGCTACCAGAGAGTAGCTGGGCACAGGAAATGGCTCATGGAACTATGGGGCTGCTCCACTATCAATAATCAGCATGGGATTCCAGACTGGGAAAGCCAAAGAATGAGACCCCCGACTAGAACAACAGCCACCAAAGTTGAAGGGACTCAGGTGCTAGTAAGTCTAAAAGCAGGACATGGAGTCAAAGATTATGCTAAAGCCTTGAGATTTATTACTATCTGGCTCACTAAGTTTTGGGTTCACTTGAGACCTGTTACCCCTCTCTTCTTTCCTACTACTCTCTTTTGGAACAGAAATGTGTCTCCCGTGCCTGTCTCACCACTGCATTTTGAACACATATAACTTATCTGCATTCTTCAAACTCACAATAGAGTCCCTCAATATTCCATTGTGAATGAGATTAAGGCCCTTACAAAAGAAGCTTCACATGCAGTTCTGTCATTGTTAACTTTTCCACCCTTATATGTGCACATACAGCATGGGTCCCTCTTGTCCTTTCTGTCCCTTTTGCCAGGTAAGAACAGAAGAGACAATGTTATCTTTGAGGAAGAGTATTTCATCAGACACCAAAACTAATATTGTCATGATCTTGGACTTCCAGCCTCCAAAACTATGAGAAAATAAATTTCTGTTCTTTATAAATTATGTCATCTGTGATATTTTGTTAAATAGTACAGACTAAGATAGTCCTTTTCATATTTTTACCTATAAAATTATAATTTTGCACTTAGTAGCATAAGGAAAGAGAAAGGAATAGTTATATCAAAAGATATGTTCTGCTAGGTGCAGTAGTACACACCTATAATTCCAAGTTTGAAGCCAATCTAGGCAATTTAGTAAGACCATTCCCAAACTAAGCTAAAATTGGATGGGGATGTTTCTCAATGGTTAAGTACTTTTCAAGCATATATGAAGCCCAGGATTTAATCTCTAGTACTACAGGGGAAAAAATTACTGATCTTTGTTGTTCTTTTGTAATTTTTTTCTTTCCCATTTTTATTTATAAGTACTAGACTAAAAATGATCTAGTGTTAGCATCACTTAGCTGTGTGTATCTGCAAATTTAAAAATTAGATCACTAGAAAAAGGTAAAAGAAAAATGGGTTAATAGTTTGTGCTCACGGGCTGGGGAGATAGTTCAGTAGATTAAGTTCTTGCCTGGCAAGTGTAAGGGCCTGAGTTCAATCCCTGGTTCTACAAAAAAAAGTTTGTGCTTAACCATTTTATATAGATTCTAAGAAAACTACCATTCTTCCTCTGTGTTCACATAAATGGTAAGTAATCTAAACACTTGATTTTGAATACTTATACTGTGCTCTTTGTATATACAAGTAGTTTAAAATTTTACAACAACCTGATTGTTTTTTTCCATTTTATCAAAAAAGCAATTATACTTTTATATTACTTTACACTTTTTGAAAGGTTAAATTGGGTGTGGTAGTGCACACTTGTAATCCCAGCACTCAAGCTGAGACAGGATTGCCATGAATTGGAGGCCATCCTGGGCTACAAGTGAGTTCAAGGATAGCCTGAATTCCATGGTAAGACTCTAAAGAAAAAAATAAGATAGTGACTTAAGAGAAAAGTGACTAAGTAGGCAAGAAGTTGATTGTTTTTAAAGAAAAGGTAGGAAAGATCCAACAAAATGGCTTAATAGATCTGAGGTTGCTAAAGATAGGCTTGTATGAGAACCGGATGCTGCAGGGGAACAGCTCTCAGTACAGCACTTTCTACCTTGTGTAAGGCCAACCTGGAGGGGGCGGGGAGAGGACAGCAAGGGAGGGGACACTTGATGCTTATGCTTTATTTTATCACTGGTGAAGGTCAATATTAGAAAATATATAATTATACTTTAAAATTTTTCTTCCATATTATGTAAGTGTATGTTAATACATTTTTAGTAAAAGATTAGACTTTCTGCCACATGAAATACATCTGTGGTATAAAAATTAAACATTAGTGGGTCTATTTAGTGTATTTATACTACTTAACATGGAAGACAACAATGAATTTGTCAATAGTAGTATAAAAAACAAAAGCTCAGAACATGTGTTTAGCATTCTCAAAGTCTTGGGTTCAATCCTTCATATGAAAACAGTATTAGGCATTAACTTACAAAAAACACTGTCTACTCAGATGAACAATCACAAAACCACTGGATTCAGTTCTAGACTCTAGCTGCAGTTATTTTCACACTCATCCTCCTCATATCTCACTGGGCTCACTGCAAAGCTCAAATTTAGGCAAGAGTGATGGAAAAAATGTAACAGGAAATTAATTAAGTTGTTGATTGATTCACCTTGTTTAGCTTCCATTTTTCCTTCCTTCAAATTCCTTTACTCATATTACAAATATCTCACCAGTGTATCTCTTACCATAGTGTAAGAGACAACGCTTTAAATAAGAAAGCCTAATTTTATAGTTCTTAAAATGGTCTGAGTAATTCTTTCAATTTTTCAGAAAAATTTCCTCTTGAGCCAGGGAGACTGCTCAGTGGTATAAGCACCTACCTGGCAAGCACACGGTTCTGAGTTTGATCCTTGGTAAACGCCCCCCCAAAAAGAAAAATTTCCTCTTGCCATTATTAAACAGGTATACAAAGGGCATCATTAGAAGTGCTTCCATGTAATGAGGTAAAGATTATTTAGTAAGATAAAGATTCTATAACTTCATTAAAGCATTTATTTATCTTCCCTTGGTAATATTTATAAATATGTCTTTCTCCTTCACTAAATTATAAAAATGTAAAGGTAAGAATACCAAATAATACACAAAACACATCTGAATTAAAAACATCTGCATTTGAAAAAGTGATTTAAATTTTTCCAAGGAATACCTGAAAATATATTTTATTACATAAAAACAAACCTACAAAGCTGGTAAAAGTTACACCCCCACATATACTATGTGACATAAATATAACATTATATTATTATTAAAGTTAGTATTTCTTAAATATTGTATGCCAGGACCTAAGATAAGTACTTTTATACAATATTTTTAACTTGATTTTTAAAACAACCATTTAAACAGGTTCCAATATTAACCACCAATTTACAAATAAGGAAACTCAAGTTACAAGCGGCACAATTATTTGCCCAAAATCTGACAGCTGGTACACAGTTAAAGAATTTACTGCTTTTACTCTACTAGTAAGAGTAGAGTGGCAAGAGTTTAAAATCAAATCCATGCCTGACTTCAAAGCTCATCTTATTTACTGCCATACTTTTCTAATGTTTGGTATTTGGTCAAGTAATACTTATTAATACCTTGTAGTGCTAAGTGGCAATTCATTTGAACTTAATATAAAAAAATTACCTACCTTCGGATTCTAAACTTCACAAAAATGAAATCTGCTATCTATACTACTGAATTACAATGGAAGCATGAAAATGAAAAAATTACTTACTTGCACAATTTGCCTCCTGCCATGTGGAATTAAAAAACTCAGAGAGAATTACAACTACTTGCATCCTATCCGCCATTAACAGACTTCTGGCACAGCTCTGACTTTCTGACGTATTCTGCAACAGAAGAAGACAGAAAAATATAATCTGAGTATTTTCAGATTTCCAATCAACAACTTGAGGCAATAACCTTTTAAAAAATATTCATTATAATTGTTTTAAGATTTTATTTGCTATGATCTGACAATGATGGCATTAATAAAGTATCAAACAGGGACGGTAAGTAATTATAATGGTAAACTATGAAAAATGGTAAAATAGGGTATATGTTAAAAAATGATAAACTAAAAGTGGTAAATTGTTAAATGGCAAAAAATCTGTAATACATTTGTAATAAATAATCAGCAATAATTTATAGTAAAAAATTTATCAGTATCAAGTTCACCTGCAAAGAAAGAAAATTTTGCTTCTTGACTAAGTATTTGCTGTCATAGTAAATCTCAGCCCTAATTGTCTAGGTATTATAATCTCTTTTTATACATGGGAAAAAGTTCTGTTACACTATTCACCAAATACAGCATTAGACTTTCTCTGGACAATGAAAATGTGACTATTTTTATTTTTACTTTTGCTTCTTTTATGCTGTCTATACATTTTTTCTACAATAAAAAATTTGCATATATTTTTCATAATTGTTCATATATGTTTCATCTTTTGGGCAATTTTCGGCTCAAAATCTTAAAACCCACAAGAAAACAAGTGATACATCCAGGTGGCACTCAGTTTGTACTTAGATTTAAAAAAAATACATTTTAGACACATAAAGCCAAATGTCTAAACTATTTAGTCCGTATCTACTTCCTTTGCCTGCAGTCCTTCATTCTTTCGAAGATTTTGGACTGCTATTTGCCAAACATTAAAAAAATTCTGGAGTTCTGAAGATGAAAACTCCCATGTATAATCAATCATAAGGTATAAAAGAATGCCAATAACAGTGGGGCTTCAACAACCTCCCTGAAGACAGACAGGGAGTTATATAGTATGATCCCAACCAGTGCAGTATTTCCAGAGAAAGAATTGATCAGATGTGGGGTGAAAAAGGAAGTAAGGTGAGCTTAAAAGAAGAATTCTTGTTTTAAAATATTGTTGACATTCATTTTGGAAAGACTGCCCTCTTTGTGGCTTACTGTCATCTCATTAAAAGACAAAGGATTTTTTTTTTTTTTTTTTTTTTTTGGCCCGCTCATGAGGATGTGGGACTCGAACCACAGAATTCTGAGCCTGACTGCATTAAAAGATGAATCCAAATGAATACCTGCTTTTTAAAATAGCGAGTTAAAGCTCACTCATAGGGTTATTTCCTGAGCAATAAAATTGCAGGAGAAAACTTACATTATTACTCTGTAAACAGAGCTTGGCCAAGAAATCAGATAATGGAAGGTCACGGCTGATAGACTGTCAACTGGCCTGACCTCTGTAAGGCTCAATTTCACAACTATGGCCATATAGTAGACAGCTATCCCAGCATGCACTCACCCCTCGGTTTAATCCCCCAATATCACACACACACGAATTAACACCCATTAATCACTTTGCATACTGTCTGACATACAGTAGCTTATATATGTGAACTAGTTATATTGTTGCCAACCTGGAATGCTCTAAGTGGATGTATTGTGATTAATATAATCAGCTACTTAAGTTGCATCTTGACAACTAGACAACTGGCTATTGAAACAATCAATACAGAACTTGCCAAGAGAAAGCAGAGAGGTAAATAGCAGGGAAAGAGTCTTGTTGAGATTTGGTGCCCAGATACTGGAATATAGTAACATCAGGAAGAAAAGAAGGGAAGCGGGTCTCCAGGACCAAGCAAAGACTGGAAGCAAGAACTAATGACAAAGAAGAAAGTTAAAAAAGACTTCAAAAAAAAAAAAAGAGACTTCAATGAAGAACAAAGAGGTGACAAGCTGCACTTTCTCCTTGAGCCCTGACTCACTGAGTGGTGGTAGCAGCTCAACCTGGAGACACATAGTGACTATTCAATCCCAGAGGTCTCCACAAAGAAACATACCAATGGAAGGGAAAATTGGTCACAGTGAACTGCGGTGGTTGGTGAGTTATTTGTGTTCAGATGTCCCCCAGGAGAGGGTGATTATCTGGTAGCCATCTTGGAGATGGGCGAAGCTTGGAACTCACACAGGTGTGGGCTGGCTCTATCTAGCAGCTCCCAGTGTCAGGGTGAAGCTGAAGTCAACTCAAATCAGCAGAAGTTCAAGTGAGCAGGAGGTCAAGAAGCTAAATTTGAGCCAGCAGAGAGCCAAGTTCAAGCAAGCAGGAGGCACATATTTGTTCTACTAGTGTTGTAGGCTGAACAAATCAGGTCTTAGCCCCACAGCCAGAAATCACCCTGAACTTCAGTGGAACTAATGGAGCAGTCTGCTGGGATTATTGACTACCCCAATGTAAATCTACAGGCTGGCTTGCTGGGATTAATCAACACAGAACCTGAACTCTGTCTCACCATTTTGTACACCTTGAAGTGGAAATTATTTTTATTATTTTTTCTTTCTTTCTTTTCTTGCTTTTTATTTTCCTTTTTCTTGTTTCCTTTGATTTATGAGCATGAACATTTTTTCCAGTTTTTTATTGTTGCTCTGTACTGTTATTTTTTAATTCTTCCTTCTCTTTTCCTTCTGTCTACCTCAGTTTCATATTTTGCATAATCTTCATCTTCCAGCCTTGTTTCTAATTTCTCTCTCTTCTTCTCTCTATTTTCCCCCAACCCCTTTTAAATTTTCACCCCTGAAGGTAAAATTACCATGCTGAGGACATTTTTTACTGTGCACAACTTTCTAGCTTATTTTAAATTTTGTTATATAATTACAAATCTAGTTCATACAATTAAAGGTGGCAAATTAATTCTCAGTTTGTCATTTTCTAGGCTGTGTTTCATGCTATTGTTATTGCTGACTGTACTTTAGCCAGAGTGACATAATTATTATAGCCAATTGTTATTCACGATATGCCAAGACTGAGATTTCATAAGGTTAAAAAAAAAAAGATACTGTATGCTAGCGCCAAAGAACCAGAGGCTAAGCTAAATAGGCATTAACTTATCACCAATAAATTGAAGAAGTAAGATCTTGTATCAGACTCAAAACCCAGCTACACCTCAGACATTTCTGAGAAACAGTAATTTTCAAAGGGTTTTAGCAATAAAGCTCCTTTCCATAAGAAATTTACAAGCATCAATGTAGGAATTAAACTAAACTAAACCAAGCTAAAGAAAGAAAGAATACTAAGAAAGATGCAACCTCAGACTACCAGCTCACCAAATGCAAATCCAGAAGGCAATGACATGGAACAATACGAAAGCCACCCACCTGGACTTTCTGAAGTAGTAACAGCAGAAGCAACAAAGCAGATGAATGAGGCTTTAGAAAACAATTAGAAATAATTTCTCAAGTACCTATAGAAATGGTGACCATAATGAAAGATATGGTTAGTGACATTAGAGCAGATACACATAAAAAATAAGAGAAGCTTAGGAAAATGATGGAACCATGAA